CCCCTCAGGGCCCCGTGTGCCATTCCTGAAAAACTTGTATTATCTCRTTCAGGGTTTTGAGTACAGGATGCAGAAAAAGATAGCCAAAGGCTGATATCCTTCCCGGGTTTGTGACCCAGAGGGAATCCTCTGCTGGGGAATGTCACAGTGAGAGCAGCAACATGAAGCTTTGACAGATGGCTTTGTTTTCATGGGAATGTGCAGTGAATGGAAGGGCTGACAGCTGTTATCCTGCTCTCAGATAAATCATGGTGCTGTCCTGCTCTCAGATAAATCATGGTGCTGTCCTGCTCTCAGATAAATCATGGGTACCCCACGAGGCTCTGCTGCTGCAGCTTTTACTGCAGCGACTCTCACAGAAGGTTCTGGATGCTGCACGAGCTGGAGTGATGCTGCAGCTCCTGGGCCAGGCTGTTGATGTTTTTGGGGTGTTTTTGGGATGTTTTTGGGATGTTTTTGGGGTGTACAGTGATCCTGCAGCTCCCAGGCCGGGCTGTTGATGATTTTGGGGTGGTTTTGGGCTGGTTTTGGGATGTTTTTGGGGTGTACAGTGATGCTACACCTCCAGGGCCGGGCTGTTGATGTTTTTGGGCTGTTTTTGGACTGGTTTTGGGATGTTTTTGGGATGTTTTTGGGATGCTAGAAGGCTGCATCTCCCAGGCCGGGCTATTGATGTTTTTGGGCTGGTTTTGGGCTGGTTTTGGGCTGTACAGTGATCCTGCACCTCCAGACCGGGCTGTTGATGTTTTTTGGGGTGTTTTTGGGCTGTTTTGGGGATGTTTTTGGGATGTTTTTGGGCTGTACAGTGATGCTGCACCTCCAGACCGAGCTGTTGATGTTTTTGGGCTGTTTTTGGGCTGTTTTTGGGGTGTACAGTGATGCTGCACCTTCAGACCAAGCTGTTGATGTTTTTGGGCTGTTTTGGGGATGTTTTTGGGCTGGTTTTGGGGCTGTACAGTGATGCTACACCTCCAGGGCCGGGCTGTTGATGTTTTTGGGCTGTTTTTGGGCTGTTTTGGGGTGTACAGTGATGCTGCATCTCCCAGGCCGTGCTGTTGATGTTTTTGGGATGTTTTGGGGATGTTTTTGGGATGTTTTTGGGCTGTACAGTGATGCTACACCTCCAGACCGAGCTGTTGATGTTTTTGGGCTGTTTTTGGGCTGTTTTGGGGTGTTTTTGGGCTGTACAGTGATGCTGCATCTCCCAGACCGAGCTGTTGATGTTTTTGGGCTGTATTTGGGATGTTTTTGGGGTGTCAGGAGGCTGCAGCTCCCAGGCTGGGCTGTTGATGTTTTTGGGCTGTTTTTGGGAAGTTTTTGGGCTGGTTTTGGGGTGTCAGGAGGCTGCATCTCCCAGGCTGGGCTGTTGATGTTTTTGGGCTGGTTTTGGGCTGTTTTTGGGCTGGTTTTGGGCTGGTTTTGGGCTGTACAGTGATGCTGCATCTCCCAGGCCGGGCTGTTGATGTTTTTGGGGTGTTTTTGGGATGTTTTTGGGATGTTTTTGGGGTGTACAGTGATCCTGCAGCTCCCAGGCCGGGCTGTTGATGTTTTTGGGGTGGTTTTGGGATGTTTTTGGGGTGTACAGTGATGCTACACCTCCAGGGCCGGGCTGTTGATGTTTTTGGGCTGTTTTTGGGATGTTTTTGGGGTGTACAGTGATGCTGCATCTCCCAGGCCGTGCTGTTGATGTTTTTGGGCTGTTTTTGGGGTGTACAGTGATCCTGCACCTCCAGACCGAGCTGTTGATGTTTTTGGGCTGGTTTTGGGCTGGTTTTGGGCTGTACAGTGATGCTGCACCTCCAGGGCCAGGCTGTTGATGTTTTTGGGCTGTTTTGGGGATGTTTTTGGGGTGTTTTTGGGCTGTTCAGTGATGCTGCACCTCCAGGCTGAGCTGTTGATGTTTTTGGGCTGGTTTTGGGCTGGTTTTGGGCTGGTTTTGGGATGTCTTTGGGCTGTACAGTGATGCTGCACCTCCAGGCCGTGCTGTTGATGTTTTTGGGCTGTTTTTGGGCTGGTTTTGGGCTGTTCAGTGATGCTGCATCTCCCAGGCCATGCTGTTGATGTTTTTGGGCTGTTTTGGGGATGTTTTTGGGCTGTTTTTGGGCTGTTTTGGGGATGTTTTTGGGCTGTTTTTGGGCTGTACAGTGATGCTGCACCTCCAGACCGGGCTGTTGATGTTTTTGGGCTGTTTTTGGGCTGTTTTTGGG